TTTGAATAGGAAAGACAACTTGCATCAGTACTGTACATGCTGAATTTTGGTCTAATGGCACTCAAAACTGTACGTTTTACACACATAAGCAGATGCAAATACTTGACAAGCGTGCGAACAAATCTCAGCAGTCAAAAGGAGGTGATATTTCCCTCAAATGACATTAAAACAGATGCAATATTATGCAGGTAGCTGCCTTTTACATGTCAACTGTAACTTTAACCAACTTCCAAAAGATTCTCTTCAAATCCCTGCTTTGCCATCACAGTAGTTTTCCTGAAACAGAAAAGTGACTGTAGAAGAAGACGGTTTATGCTAATGATTGCTATACTGTCCCTTGAGGCAATGCTCAGAATATGACTTGTAGTCACATTGCATTAGGAATTGGGTTCTGACACGTTCCGGAAAGCAATAATGCATGAAATTGAGCTTGTGTGGCTAGAAGCATTTAGTCTCACAAACTCAAAATGACCAAAACTACAGAAGTCTCATAATTGAATCGTAATGTCTCCATCTGCAATATACATTATAACTCTGTTCTGAAACCTAGTGAGCTATCATTCAAAAGTTTGAGGTCAGTTAGATTGTTTTTTTTAATGAAATTAATACTTTTATTGAACTAGGACACATTAAAGTGACAGTAAAGATATTTATTTATAAAGATAATGATAAAGATATTTGAAAAGATTTCTGTTTCAGAAAATGTTATTTTAAACGTTCTATTTATCAAAGAATTCAGAAGAAAATGTTACAAAATAAATTAAAACGTTTATGCTTAATAAATGTTAAAAATATTAAGCAGCAAAAGTGTTTTCAACATTGCTAATAATAAAAAATTGTTCTTGAGCATTAAATTAGCATATTAGAATGATTTTTGAAGGATCATGTGACTGCAGTTATGATGCTGAAAATTCAGCTTTGCATCACAGAAATAAATTACATTTTGAAATATATTCCAATAGATAACAATTATTTAAACTGGTAATAATTTTTCACAATATTACAGTTTTTGCTATATTTTTGATCAAATAAATGCAGCCTTGGTGAACATATGGGACTTCTTTCAAAAACATAAAAAAAATCCTAGACACCAAACTTTTGAACAGTAATGTTTAAAACAAAACAAAAATAATAAAATAAATATCTGTAATTCATTTTTATATGTATAAAAAGCAGATCAGGGGTGTTTATCCTTTAAAAATAAAAAAGGATAAAAAAGGATTTCCCCCCCCCCCAAAAAAAATACAAATAAATAATAATAATAAATCATTCCACCCCCAAACTGTTGAAAGGTAGTATACTTGTGCCCATAGTCTACAACATAATTGAAACGAACCCTTCATAAGTGACCGTTTTAGTTTTGGACAGTTTCAATACATATTAATTAGGCTGAACTATTAAATTAATTCTAAGTACATTATTTAAAAATAATTTATCTTGCTTCATTCATGGATTTTAATTTTCTCCAAAGGAAGGTGTCTTAAAAGGCATAATTATGCTGCCTACCTCCTGGAACAGCTCTTGTGTCTGAATCGCACCTTAAATACTGCCTAACTAGGAGGCTCACTAGACTTTGGAGCTTTTATGAAGTTTACCTCTTCCAGGATGGTTTTTACCATAAATCTTTTTAAAAAGACTCAGAGGTTTATTATCCATGCAATGCACTGCAAAATATCCAATATGCATAAACATAACAGGGTTAACATTACATAAATAACAGATGTCATCAGTATGAAGCAATTATCATGCTCTCACGTCTATAAACAGACACCTTTCAACCTCAATATTTCACTTTAGATTTCGTCAAATTTTATACACACACACACTCACAAGAATGCAGTGCACGTGTAATTCAAATATCGTAAGTGGGGAAAAAGAGATACCCTATGCATTAGGTGCTTCATTTGCTGCACAATTTAAGGAAAGCTCAACTCCGTGATGCATTGCTTTACAGTATGTGCTGAAGTTTAATTCTAAACATTAAATCACTAACTCTAAACAGAAGCAATAACAGCAAAGCTTGACCTGGCAAACACTACTAAAAATCAATGCATCTAATCTAAGTCAAGGAACTAATCAGCATTTGTGCAGCAGGATCAGGTCAGATTGTGATGGACGTCTCTCTCGTTCTCGGAGGAGAGGTGGAGCAGATCAAGCTGCGTGGAGCAGCTTTTACTGTTTAGAGAGATAAAGCCGTGATAATTCATCCTAAACCCAACCTGTCAGAGATCCGCTTCCACACTGCAGCACATGGGGCTTGATAAACAGAGATGGAGGTTAGAAATGAAGACTGGACTTGACACTTACAGAGACATGGAGAACTCTGGATTCACGAAGCAGAAATACGGTTCGGTTTTAAAGAGAAAGCATGCATGGCTTCATGTCTTCAAACATTCAATAGACAGCACAATCTATTATGATTTTTCATAATTTTGACATTAAATTGGATAAATTAAGTGGAGCTGGCTCTTTAATGCTCCTGTGGTTTTCAGAAAGAGTCCAATAGCACCAACATTATCAGCATGAGCTTTATTCCACACTCTATTCTGTAGCTCAAACAGCAGAACGCCAAGGTCATGGGTTTGATTCCCATGAAATGCATGAACCGATAAAACATATACACTGAATGCAATGCAAGTTGCTTTAAATACAAGCATATCCCATCTAATAACACATTAGCCTTGCTTATAGATAAATCCTGGCCAAATCTTCTACATCTACACTTTTATTTGAAATATATGTGCACCAATCTATCCCTGCATGTCTGCTTTGGATGCCATTAGTTTGCATTCAGCTCCTCCTGCATTCAGATTACTTACTTTCTCAAATGCATTTAGCAAAGTCTCAATCTTTGTCTGAAGAACAGCCAAAACTCAGCATAAATGTATGCATCTCTCCATTTCACAGTCCTATTTAAATGCCGGGGTCTGCATCAGAGCATCACATTTCTTATATGTTCTTGTTTCTATAATCTATCTGGTTTCATCAGGTGTCCTTGAAAACATCCGCCATTTTTGCTGTAAAAATTATATATTAAAAAAAAAAAAAAAAAAAATAAAATA